GTCTAAAGCTAGGCTTCATCCTTGGACTTTTACTTATTTTACTCCAATTTCTGGTTTTTAATTAAATAACTTGAGCTGGACTGTATTTTCTAACCAAGAGTTCAAATTTAAAAATTTACATTAAGGCCAAAAAGCAAGTTTAAAAAGGTGCATATATACTAAGTTCAAATTTTGATTGTAATTTTAAAAAATGTATGTGTAGAAAAATATTGGAAGGAAACTTCCAGTTGTTATTTAAAGGTAGTGTTTTTGTTTATCTCTACTTTTTGATCTCTCTATAATAAAAATATTATGTAATATGGAAAAATTAAGTAAAAAAACTGATCCAAAGACTACTGAAGAGCTTCATTCAGCTAGCTTCACCCACGCACACCACTGTTGGCTATAACCATCAAGTCCACTCTTCATCTCTACCACAGCCATGAGCGTTAGTGGCTACCTGGCAACCCAGGCAGAGCTGTTTCTGAGCCTTCCCTGCAACTAGGTGTGTGGCCACATGCCTAAGTTTTCAACAATGTAATGTAAGCAGAACTGATCCAAGCAACTTGTGTTACTTTAGGTCTTCAGAGAAAGCCCAGGAAATTCTGGCTACAAAATAGGACGAAGTGTTACAGAGAAACAATCTAGGTCTCCAGGTGAATTTGTGAAAGAAAGCTCCCATTTTTCCCTGAGCAACTTGCATATCATGTAGGTGACAAAGAAATAATCTTATTTGAGCCACTGAATTTCTGAATCTCTGTATAATGTCTTTGTTATATAATCTTTTGAATCTCTATTATTAATAAGGCATATACAGTATATATGTGTGCCATTCTTTTCATGACAAATATACCTAAATACAAAAACTTAAAAACTTTATTATCTAGTTAGTAATTAAAGTAAAATATCAGCAATAAGTGGTCTACAGAGTCCTCTGCCCTAAAAAACTCTGTGGTTAAAAGGTTAGTTGTACAAATGGAACGCCTCTCTTTTTTTCCCTAAGCTGATTTTCAGCTTAACAGTTTGGGAATTAACATGATTTGAATAAATTTAATCCAACCAATTAAATTTAGTTACTTAAAACTAAGTCCCTTGACTAAGAGGGTACAGGCAAGTTTTAGGGAGTTTATGAACTTCTCAAACTTTCTACAAAACATTTAACATATACACCCATACATGCATGGATGTGCGTGGGTAGATAGACACACAAGTGATGTTTTCTAGGGAGATCATCATAGATTATGTCAAGGGAATCTACGATAAGACTTGAGCACAAACATGTGAGGAAGGACAATGCAATATATTCCTTCCAGATACATTAGAATTGAATTTCTTTGCTACCTCTGGAAACAAACATTTCTTTGATATGGGATTTTAGTTCTGAGTTGAACCAGAATCATTACACTGGCTGAGACAAGGAGATCTAAAACAACTTACAGAGTGTCAAGAAAAAGGACATGGCTCTTGAAAAGTGGTATTATAAAGATTATCCCTTGCCAGGAAAGGAGTAGGTCCTAAATGATTTTAGGATGAAGTTTGACCAAGACACAGAAGAGTTCAAGGATATCTACACTTGAACGAGAGTAACAAGTGACCAAGAAGACATGTCAGATGACTGTGGGTAAAAAAGAACTTCTACCTGCAACCCAGACACAGCTGGCATGTTTAAGAACCAGGTTAAGAAAATTAGGTGGAGGCACTCCCTGGTGGCGCAGCGGGTTAAGCACAGCACTAAGAAGCTAAAGCCACTTCCTCATGAGTTCGATTCCCGCCTGCCCCGGAGGTGACCACATGGCGTGGCAGACCTCTCCTGACCCGCCCACTGCTCCCCTCAGCAGTGTACTTTGTCGATCTGCCTGTTCTGCTCCCCTCTCTGTCTCTGGTGAATCCTCTCACCCTCCGCATCTCTGGCCTGTACCCCTGTTCCATGTGAATAAATAAATAAATCTTAAAAAAAAAATTAGGTGGAAAGAGAGGATGAAAGTGTTTAGAATGAATTATTAACACGTTAATCCAAGCTGAACTTTGTGATTAAATATTTTCAGAGGTCTACCTACTGATAGGAGAGCATAATAACCTAGATCTTAATTGGTTGACCTCAAAATGCAGCTATTTCCAAGTGATCAAGGTCAATACCAACAATGAGCAGTCAGGTAGATAGTATGTGCCCTTGATATGGCGTGATGAAAACGGCACTTTAGTTTTGTGTCTTCTTGCTTAAAACTCACCACCTTAATCTAATCACTGAGTAAAAAACACAGAGTAAGGCATTCTACAAAAAACCTGATTAGTACTCTCAAAATTGCCAATTCATCAAACCCAAAGAAAGTCTGAGAAACTGTCATAGCCCAAAGAGCCTAAGTACACATATCTAAGGGTGACATGATATTCTGGAGAGGATCCTGTAACAGAAAAAGGACATTAGGTAGAAATGAAGGAATTCTGAATAAAGCATGGACTTTAGTTAACAATAATGTGTCAGTATTGGTTCATTAATAGTAACAGATGTACCATACTAATGAATACATTAATTTTAGGAAAAACTGGATATGGAGTATAGAAGGACTTACACTATTTTTGTAATGTTTGGTAAATTTAAAATTGTTCTAAAATACAAAGTTAATTTTTTTTTAAATGTGGTTTTATTTTACTTACTAACCTGGAGTAAGTTACTTAGTCTTTCTATGCTCCAACTGGCCTCATCTGTAAAATTAGAATAATATTAGCAACCTACTAAAAATGTGTTGTAAAGACTACATGAGTGATGCACTAAAATGCTTATGCTTCACAAAACTGTAAGGTCAAGCTTATCAACCCAGTTGACAGCAGCTGTTATTATTATTTTTAAAAAATATTTGTAAAGCTCAGTATTTTTTTAAATGGATTAAAAATAGTTTAACATATACAATATTTTAAACTCTAACCTTATATACAAAATTTGGATGTATGCAATTTCCCCCAAAATGCCAACAACTACATGATTTCAAAGTCAGCAAGACAAGTGTGAAGAGCATTCGTCACGCGGTCACATGGCAGGGGGCCATGTACACCCAGCTGATCCTGGTAAGAACTCATCCTGCATGAAGTTCTTAGGAAGCTATTGCTTCCATAAAGGGGACAACTCTGTTACTTAGGGTCTAAAATTCCTCATGGTGTATAGATAAAAAGTCTGTATTTAATACCTGAGTAAAAGACTTAGAATACTCCTCTGGAGAAAAAGGAGCTAGGTTAAAGTTAAAAGTTAAATCCAGGCCCTCCCTGGTGGCGCAGAGGGTTAAAGCACAGCACCGAGAAGCTAAAGCCACTTCCGCATGAGTTCGATCCCCACCTGCCCGATCCCCACCTGCCCGGGAGGTGACCACATGGCACCACAGATCTCTTCTGACCCGCCCGCTGCTCCCCTGCTCCCCACTCTGTGTGTGGTAAATCCTCTCACTGTCCCTGCACCTCTGGCCTGTACCGCAGTTCTGTATCCATAAATAAATAAATCTTAAAAAAAAAAAAGTTAAATTCATAACTGTGTGGCAGCAGAAATAACTAGAAGTCTAAAGCTTACACAGATATTTCTCCTAGTCAGAATATGACTGATTAAACATATTAGCAACAAAAAATGCCTCTTATCCCCTACTTTCAACTGTCCAGATCTACTGTACATGTTATAATTCTGAGTCTATAAAACTGCTCAGCTCTTTTCCTTCTTTTCTATTAATTTGAAATTTCAAAGTTTTGACATTATGTAAACACTATAAATATTGCTTACACAATTCTCCATGTCACATGTATTTTCCTATTGTTTTTAATATTTTAATATATAAATCTAGTGTTTGCAAGCCATGTTTACTACATTATTTGCACCTTATATATATGTATATATATATATATATATACATATATATATATAAAGTATTGTTCCCAAGTTGTATACAAAAATTTGGTGAATATCAGTGTAACTTCTTTGACATAATATTCTTTGATCTGTTTATATAAAGAAGGGCATCACCCACTGAAGGACTGTCCAACTAATCAAAAAGCTGAGGGTAAATAAATGTATCCTATGACAAGAAATCAAAGACTGAGAGCTGGAGGATTAAAGGAAGAAATGAGAATCAGATATATTTGATAAAAAAAAAGACAAAAAAGTACATATGCAAATGATATTTCTAATCTAAAATGTCTCTGTGTGCATGTGTGTGTGTGTTTTGAAACAAGGAGATAGAAATTTCAAAACACTAGGAATGTTAAATTGCCTGTACATATATTCTCTTTATACCTAAAAATTAGAGACCTTTTCTTTTAGGATATTTTCCTTTTGAAATAATTTCTTAGGAATAATTTGGTCACTGCAGATGTGATCTGTTTACTCCCATTATTTACTTATTAATCTTCTTGATTAACATTTTAAAAATATTTATTTTAGATCTTTAAAAATGTTTTCCTATTTTTTATTTCCTATAAAAAGTCAATTTTTATTCTTGAATCATGCACAAAGCAATCTTTCAGTCAAAAAGGAGGGCAAATATTCCTTCTTTCCTAATGAATATCCCACCATGATATTGCAATAGGGATACTACAGAATAGATTAATTCCAGTAATTATTAGCTATGCCAACTACCTTTGTTGTAAGAAAATACGAGTGATCAACACGTGTACTTTTCCAAAATTTGCATATTTTATACTGATATGTGCATAATCTCTCTAGTTAGTAAATACTAAGATTTTAAAAATTTGAACTGGCAAAAGAATGCTTTATTTTTCTAATTGTATTAATTTTTTTTCTTGATACTTTAATGATTTTTCAACTGAAGAAATTACTCAGGTTTCCCACAAAAATTTAAAACTTTGAATCATTTAACCTATAAATTATTCTCACTATGGCAACAAATCTCCAAAGAAGATCAAAACAATGAAACCATATTAATTCAGCTGATGTCCATATTAAAATTATTAGTGCCTCCAATTCCTGTAAGACAATGCCAAGTCATAAAACTTATTAAAACATTTAAATTAAATATACTAGTTACCTATGTAAAGATATTCCCCTCTCTCCATTACACACATGATTATAGGTGACTGGTCTATATTTATCATTATTCCAACACCACAGTTCAGAATTCCGTGTTCTGAAGGTTAGAAGAGAAGATAAATATCCCCAAGTAAGACATACTTGAATATAAGAACTCATCTTGTCTCCATCTCTTATGATGCCTATATTAACACCAACATACCAATTACAAGTGTTAACAAAACCTGCAAAGAAATGTTAAAAGAATCTTAGTAAGCAAACTAGACACATGTTAAGCTCTTTGTGCCTTTATATATTTAGAAATATTCCTGAGAGAAGATGAAATCAGAAAGATAATTTTCATGCTCTAACCTGTTACCCCTTGTATGCAAAGGTAGTATAAATTGACTAGTAAGAATATTCACTTCAAAGATAAAGCCTGGTTTCAAAGGTGAAGAGGAATAAAGTTATTATAAAATTACTATTTTTTCCTTTATTTTCTCTCTTCAAACTCTTTTTTCCTTTCTTCTTGCCCCCTATGACCAGCTGGCCACATATGTTCTCTGTATGTCTTCTTGAAATTTACTGAAGGAATGTCCTTCATTCCCTGAATAGCACAATTTTCTGTGAAGTGAAGGTAACAGGAATTAGTAGCTGTCATCTTAGAAAGAGACATGTTACTGTATTCTCTGTATTAATCTGAAGAGCTGCAATATAGACAGGACAAAGAAATAACTGAGAAAATATTACTACAATGTGCATCGCCTTATAAAACCTTTCATTTTCATTAAAATTAAAAACTCACTCCAGCATGCTACCAACTAAAATGTCACTGATTTTTTTAAATTATACAAACATCTTCTATAGTTCTGCTGTGATTAGACAAAGTAAATGAGTGAAGCAAACTGCAAAGCAATGATGCATAAAATTGCTACTATATATTATTTCCCAGGCAGAGTCAGATCTATATATGGAACAGAAGATATTTTAAAATGAATGTTATTTGTTGCCTTTATAATTTTGCATAATTAAAATATTGGAACATTTTTTAAAATCCTAGCAAAAGTACTACATACAAACACCAAGATACTATGTATGTGTATGTATGTAGAGGTATAATACATTTAAATAAACAGTAATACTAAATTATTTCAAAACAGCATAGAGACTATAACCCCACACCCCACTTCTAACAGTAAGAAAATAATCAACCTGCATGAACTGGAATCAGATTCATTTTCTTCTTCACTAGTGCCATCATCCACTTCGGGTCTATCCAGCCAATGTGCACCGCCACAATCTTCAGCTGTAAACTCAAGTGCAGGGACTTCAGAGGTGGATGCCATTGGCCAAGAAGGTGAATTCTGAAAATTCAGTTGGCTGGACCCTCGGTAACCAATTGAAGCCAAAGGCAATTGTAGGCTACATGGGTCTAAAAACTTTCTCCCACCGTTTGCTCCGGTCTGTCCTCGATTCCAAAATTCTCCCTGCTGGCTGTCAACTGTAGAATTAGGAGATGATGCTTGATGGCCAAACCACCTCCATCTGATTTTCAAAATCTGCTTCACATCAAACTCTTTACGAGAACCAGACATCCTCAGAGAAACCAAGTGATCGTCTAGGCAACGGGCAAAAAAGCACTGCACACAGATTTGTGCATCCAACCAAGACAAGAGAAGTATATGCCCTGCTGTACACAATAAACAGATTGAAAGGAAAATAAATCACATTCACGTATATATCTACATTTACTTTTACAGCAATATATCAGATTATAAAGAACAAAGGACAATGAATAAAGATGAAACACGGTGGAACATTCCGTGCAATGAGAGCAAACTCTCCTCCACCTATCCTGAAGCAGCCAGACCACTTTGCCCAGCTCCCCTTTCCCATACTGACCATTAGCTCTCACAAACACTGACAGCATTCATTAAAGTCCTTTCAGATGCAGAACACCACCCCCTTTTCTTAAACCACAAAAGACAAAGACAGAAAGCACTATCCCATTGCAGTATCTCAGGCTCTGCTGCTTAGTATATTAACTCTTTTATTGCTGAAATAAGAAATTTATTCCAGAGCATTTCCTTTGTATTTAAAAATCACTTTAAAATAAAGATGATTCTATTTTTATGCTGTTTCTAAATGAGATGTGATAAAACAAATAATTTTTAAGGCATTATAAAGTTGAGAGGTGAGGTGTGATTGTCCAGCTGTGCTCAATGTGAGGGGGATGAGGAGGAATGAGGCTTATGACGGTCTAGTTTGTTTCTTTTCCCTTTTTCCTTCTCCCTCTTGGAAAGGAGTGCATGTAATTAATATTGTAAGATGCTGGATAAGATTTCATTTGAGCAAAGAATAATTAGAGTAAGAGGAAGAAGTTAGAAAACTAGAAAGGACAAAAAATGACAGTACTTATTCTTCTTTGAGTAAGTAAATAACCGGAAGCCAGTATTGCTTGGTGAGTAGGACTGTGCCTCTTCAATTTCTTATGAATCTGAGTTTCTGTGACACTACTTAGAAAAAGGGAAGTATGGCTCAAGAGCTACCAAGGACTATTTCTTGGGTGTACATACACCCCAATGGTGCCCCCTGTTGTTAGCAATAAGAACAATGAGCTGAACAGGATTACAGTTAATACAAACTGATAAAACAAAAATCAAATGCAATCAAATTTTAAAATGTTGAACAAGATATCTGACTAGGCATTGTGGGGGGAGTACCTCTTGGTTGCTACCTTCAAAGAAATTAAATCTAGCTATTGAGACAAAAATGTTTGGTAACATTTACATAGGAAACATTGTCATGCTGCAATGTGAAACTTTGTGATCTACAAATATTTAATGTGAGCTTTCTGGATGTTCAATATTTAATGTTAGATTAAATAATTTCATACAAAAGGCAATGATCATTATCAACTGACCAAAAATCTAAAAAGCTACTTTTAGGCTTATAAGAACATTGAGTCATACATGTTAGCCTCACACAACTCTTTAGAAAGCGTATAAAAATATGCAGAAGAACAGGTATGAGAGGCATGGAAGTCACATATAATTTTGCGTTAAATATTGTGGGGCAAACCTTAAGTACCATAAAAAAAGAGAAAGGAGAAATCAGGATGGCATGGATCAGCTTGTTTAGGGAAAAGGATTCTAAGAATAGTAAATGTTATATTATATAGAGGAAAAAATGATGATAGATTATATAGAGGAAAAAAGTTATTAATAAAAGTATGAAGTGAGGATATTGACAAAGGGGGAAATTTCAGTTTCATTAGCCAGTCAACTGCACCTAATTAACTTTAAGGAGCAGTAGGAGGTTCATTTGGATGTATATGAGATAAAATGTCACAGACACAGGCAAAGGTATAAAGACTGAGAACAGCAGGCAATATATAAAGTAAGCTGTTGAACAGGGCAATATTTTAGTAAATTAATTTGGAAGTGGTACACAGGTTATATTAGTGAGTGAAATGACACTTGTCTTTCTCTGACTTCTCATCAACATCCTTCTAATTCTACCTATCCAACTTTATTTCTGAGTATTGTCCAACAAAGACTCAAAGCTTCATCAGTTAAAACAAAACCTACAGGCCCACCCTGGTGGCAGCAGGTTAAAGCACTGCACTAAGAAGCTGAGACCACTTCCACATGAGTTTGATTCCTGCCTGCCCCAGAGGTGACCACATGGTGCGGCAGACCTCTCCTGACCATCCAGCTGCTCCCCTCAGCAGTGTACTTCGTTGATCTGCCTGTTTTGCTCCCCACTCTGTCTCTGGTGAAGTCTTTAGCCAACCCTGAGTCTCTGGCCTGTACCCCAGTTCTGTATGCACAAATAAATAAATCTTTAAT